TGATTATGTGTCGGGTATTATTGCTGTGTGCTTCAGTCTCTGTCCTGTAATTATTATCGATAATAATCTTGTTGGTGTTAATACTTGACCATCACAGTGGATGTGATTTTACTTATTATTGTGCAAGAGACGTGCATCTGAAGAGAGCTAATTGAAGATAATGGCATTTGAAATTAACAACAAATGCAATATCCCCATGTAGGAACCAAGCGCTAAAATAATGACGATATCTTCTAGTTTAAACATTGACACGTCTAAATCACGTGGATGAATGGACCAACATTACCCTCAACAAGAGATAAATATTCATAGGTTAGGTAACTAAACACTATGATACTACTATCCCAATGATGAGCACAAGAGACCAAATCTACCAATGTACAAGCTCTGCACGTGGTTGCACAATGGAGGAAATTGTTTGTCATTATTGTATAGAAGACTTCTGATAAGTATGTAGTTATTGGGATTCGTTGAATCATTATTTTCCATACTCTAACATATTTGAGCAGTAAAAATAGATGATTCCAGAACCAAGAGCGCTAACATAAGGCCAAAAAATGATATATGTGATTGACCTTGAGTTCATTAGAATAAGACTTGGCTCTTTGTTGTTAAATCTTTATTGAATTTGTCATTGAGAAAAATAGAAAAAGATGCTCTGGAAAAGATTGCTCCAGTATTTTGACAATGACTTACTGATTTACTGTCAATATACCCTTGCATTAGAAAGGGTACACTTGCTGAACGTTTTTAAATAATAAAGACAAACAATTTCATGTTAGTGGCCTCTAGTTTGTCATGCTTGGCCGTGAAGTTGGACACTACCGACTCTTCATTATGCAAGATCTAAATAATTCTTGAAGAAAAAATTGGCAGGTTGTATTTTGGATACCTATTGTGTTTTATGACTTATACATCATTTGGAATGCTACTTATTGTGGGAAGTGGTTGTACAAGGAGTCTCCTTCACACGGTGTAGTTGCAACTGAATTTGTTATCTTGAAAGCTGTAACCACTTTTTGGGAATGTGTGTTAAATATTTCTTAATTTAGTTAATTCCTTGCATGTGTGAGTAAAATTTAAAGTGGGAGTTGTGATGAATTTTATTTTTTTACAGGTTTTAAATTCTCTCCAAGCATTTACTGAAGGAATTTAAGTGGGTGTGTAAAGTATTCGATTGTATCGGGAAGCAGTAAATGTACACAGACTCTATGAATTGGTTTTTAGCAAGATAAATTGTAAGACACCTAATTGTTTAAGACATCATATGATACTTGACAGCAAGTTCTTTGCACGTATCATGCGCCAGCCCCTTTTCGATCCCTAATCTATTTAGCTTCCTCTTTTTCCCCTCTTTGGTTAATATTCTCTTCGGTGGACCATTTCAGCAGGAAAGCCATATTGTTATCCAGAGGTTGCATGGAAAATCTAAAAAAGATACCGTTCCCTTTTTTAGCATTCTTCTACTCAGTTTTTTAACATAAATCCTTCGTTGTTGTCAGCCTTCTTTGTTAAAGATTTCACGGGCGTTATGGAAAGTGGCATTGAAGTGCCAGAAAATTGATTTTTTACTTAGTGATTCCTTATTTTCAGCAAAATACTTCATTAAGGTAAAGAGTTTTTTTTGCTCTTTTTATAACTTAATTTTTTGATCGGGAATGGCGGAATGCCTACATTTCCATCGGCAGTGCCTAAATCTTCAATCTTGACTGGACATATCTGCTCTTTGGATACCATGTTTTGAAATCTATGGTTGGTTGGTAATGTCCAAATCTCTAATCTGGTCTACGTAGATCTACATAGTTGGGTAACACGTTTTGAAATCTTTGATTGACTACTGCTTGAAGAGCCAATCTAGTCCTTGCAGATTCTGTTATTTGTACCACCCTTTTTGTCGCAAGTTCAAAATTCAACTAGACCAGCGAATTAGGATAATACCTGCTTTAGGGGTGGGAAGTTTCACTCGAACCATGTGTATTGAATTGGGATTCCTATTAGAATAATAATGTGACCAGGTGTTTAAACGAACTGTTTTGGTCCATTTCTTTGTTTTAAGTGAAGAACCGAAATTTAATTTGGTTTCTCCGGAAGTTGTGTTTTTTTCTTCCCTAAAAATGTGGCCACTTTAGTTAATAGCGTAACCTACATTGAATGCAACACTCAATCTTCACAGTTGAGTAGGGGAGTGCATTACCGAAACTGTATTGCAACCGTCTGAACCGGCCGGTTCGGCACTGGTTCTGTGGAAAAATCATCTGGTTTTTGGTAATTCGCACTGAACCTGACAGTTCGGTCTGGTTCTTGGTGCCGAAAAAGTATTTCGGTTCTGCCGGTTTGCTTTTCGGTTTTTCTTGTCTTTTCAAACTTTACCCTAGAAAACTAATCTGAATATCTCTCTCTAATTCACAAAATACTATCGCCGCCGCCTCCATTCTTCTCTCAAAGTGGAAGCCCTAATTCCCAATCCAGTCCTATACAATCTCACAAACAAGCTACAGATTTGTAGCCTAGTGCAAACCTCAATTGCTAAAAGAAATTTGTAAAAGAAATTTTCCTTTTTAGTTTCCGGCAGATTTTTTTTTCTCCATATTCGGACACGATCTTCTCTCGACAATTAATCAGTTTCTACTTTTACTAGTGATCAGTTGGTCCTATTGAAGTTGGATGTTGCTGGGTGCTGCTTGAGATTTACCAGATTCTGTTTTTTTTTTTTTTTAAATTTCTTGAACAAGGTTCGAAATTACTGCTTTATTTTCTCTTGCTGATATTATTTACAGCTTTTTGCATAAAACTAGTCAATTTTCATTGCTGTTTGAGTGCCAATTAGTTGTTGCTGCTAATTTTTTTGGTGTAGTTAATAAATCATTAGTTGTCTGCATATAAATTAGTCATTGCTGCACGAGTGCATATTTTCAATTTCTTGAGGGCCAATTTTCGTCCTGTTTTCCCAATTTCCTTATCGAAGAGAAGGTTATGTTGATTTAGTAAATTTTAAATTAAAAAAGTAATGATTATTTATATTAATATTCAATTGCTAACATGGAGAGATGAATTAATGGTAGCATTCATTGTTGTATCCACTCTGGTTTTTAATACATACAGCCAAAGAAAAAAAAATGAAGATCAGCATGTGCTTGCAGAGACCAGTTTTCAAAATATTTGAAGTCTTAAAATTAAATGTAATTGGACGGGACGGGACCAGAACCAACCGGTTTTGGTCTGATCTGGTTCTTTTTTCACAATTCCCATTGGGAATCAGCTCAGTACAGTCTCAAGAGACTTGAACTGAACCACCTGGCTTTCACCTCTACTCTTGAGAATCACATATTCACATCGTTTTTCATCTTCAGTCTCTCTTTCCCTATTCTCTTCCCGAGTTAGTTCTTTTGAGTCTTTTCTTCGCATCACATTGTCGAGTCTTCAACCGCTGTTGCCTTACGTCTTCGTATTTCATCGAATCTGTTGTTGCTTCTTTTTTGGAGCGAGGGCAGAGCCAGAGAGCCATAGTCCCCAGAGGTTCCAGAATTTTTTTCCTTTTATTAATAGATTTATAATCCATAATCTATAGAGGCACTTGTATTTATCTAGGGATGGGCAAAATTACTTAGAACCAATGGAACTTATCCCGAAAATTGAACCGATTTTTTAAAGAAAGCTTCATTTTTGGTCACTTTTTACCCGAGAAATGGACGATTGCTCCGATTCTTGGTTTCTTCTACAAACCACGGTTTCAAACCGAAAGAGTTGATTTTTTTTTTTTGGCTGGTTCAATGCACCAACAATGCCTAATTAATATTTTAAAACCCACACCTTCAAAATTTAAATTCAACAACACCAACATTTTCACCTTCTCTCTCATCTCATTTATGCAGTGCGCTGCCTATCAATTCTCGCCCTTTTCCTGTAAGTGTCTGGTTCATTAAGAAAAATAGTGTAACTTCAACCAAACTAGACTGTGGCCACCGCTATGCTTACCTCTCCCCTCTCTATCTCTGTCCATCCAATTGCATTTCTTTTACAACATACCTCAAGGTTTCTTTTAGGTCTTTTTCATAGAAATTAAAAATATTTTGAATTCTCTTATGCTATTACTCTATAGAGCATTAAATGTGTAGCTTGTTGTAGTATTAGTACATTCGATGTTGCCAATATCTCCCTCCTTTTGAAGTTTTAATCATGTTGCTTATTAAAATCTTTGTCCAGATGAATAATATAAAAAAAGGTTTGATTTGAGGAAGTCAAAACATAGTTTTCAGAAACGACCCGGTCGAAGCACCTGGTCGACTGGTTCAAACGGTAGGTCATTGTCGGTTAAAAAATTCAAATAATAAAATTTTTATTTAACATAAATACGATGAATAATACTAAGTTTAAAAGTCGAGGCATGTTATATTTGAAACCAATATAAAGTTTGGTGAATAACTGTTGTGCACGCATTTAACACGCTGGAAAAAACTCTGAATTTTTAAGTAAAATTATTTGGGCCGTGTCACTAGCCAACCATTATAATTGAACAAGAATTTCCTGTTAATTTGACTATTGGGACTGATGACGGTGAACAACTCTGAAACCTATAGAACGTTTGGTGACAGTTTTAGGACAAAACAATGTTCAGCCAGCTTAGATGAAATTTCCTCAAACAACTATGGGATAGTCTAAGGAATGGGTTTTTGAAAGAAGCAAACATCCATCGAAAGGAAGCACAATTATTTCATATCCGTTATAGGATGAAAGTGGAATCAGTGTATCCCTGTTGAAATGTGGTTAGGGTTAGTATCTTGCATACAAATGTTAATTGATCAATGTGGATATTGTGAATTCCGTTCCCTTATAAATCTTTTTTTTCCACCTTTGATATCATTTGGAGTACCTTTTTATTGATCAGAAGAAAGAAATTATATTAATATACTACCTCCAACCCTACCCTCTTATTTTATATGTTTTTTGGAGTTTAATATTTTTTGGATCTACTGCAGGCACATCTAGACATACATAGCAGAATGGGCGATGACGCATTTGATGAAAAGTTATTGACTGAGAAACTCTCTAAACTCAATAGTTCTCAACAAAGCATAGAGTGTATCCTTTCTATAGAAGAGTAATGGCAGTTACTAATGTTCTGTTTCAAAATTGCGGCGATAAACATACTATGTACACGATAACTTTCTGTTTTATTGTTATTAAATGGTTAACAGTTCTGGCAAAGCATTGTGTAACCTTTCTACAGGACAATAGTAACCATCTGCAAGTTTTTTTCCCCCCCCCAATATCCGAGTGCATAAAACATAATAGGTACATATAACTTTCTATGTTCGTGCTATTATGTGGTCATACTTTGGCTGCATACACGATTTCCATTTTTCTGTGCAGTGTTACAAAGTATGATCATGATGCATGACTTGCCCTATCCTAGGAATGCATGCAGTAAAAATTTCATGTTCACTTACGTGCGGTTGCTTCATTCCGAAACACTCTTTGGTATTTGGTGGTTGTAAATATCATATTAATACCTAATAAAATAGTGAATTCAGATCATTGTTTTCCTGTTGTTTAGCTGTTTGCACGTTCTCTTTCTAATGTTTTGTTTAATGTGCCTGTTAAGTTACCTTCTGAAGCTGCTATTTGCTTGAGAAGACGGCAACTATCATGACAGCGAAATTATCAATTCCCGTATGACCTTCCTCTTACCAAAAGAGAAAGGAAAACATAGATATCTTTGCAAACTTGCGAAACTCAATAATGTGACTTACAGTTGGTACTGCTGTTAAAATACAGAAATCAAGAATAGAAACATTACAGGAACAAGAGGGAGGCAATTTTGCTTTGTTTCTATCCTTAATCCTTTTTATTTTTCTTTCTTTCTTTTGTTTGGTGTTTGTTATTTATTTATATTTTTTCTCTGGGGCTTTGTATCATATGCACTTGAATTGGTACTACAGTTGATCTCTGTGGCGTGTGGATCAAATTACAATTCCAAACTTCTCTCTCTTTTCTTCATCATGAATTTGCCTAAATGATCAAGTTAATGGATGCAATGAATCTAATAACTGACTCAAATCGCTTCATTTGGTTTCCAATTTGGTCACCTAGTCTAATTCCGCCCCATTTCATGACATGGCTCTCTCTATTCCTAACATCTATTTCCATTTACACAAGTTCGGATGTGGGCAAATTGGAAGCTGGAATTAACCCTAAAACATTGTATATGACATTTCATCAGCTGTGCTGCATCTCCATCTCTCTCTCGTTATGATTAGACTAAATTAGTTTTTGACTTGTGCCTGACATGTGCTTTGCATATACTATTTTTTTTCCTTTTATTTGGTCATCTAGTCTAATTCTGTCCCATTTGATGACATGGCCCTTTATTCATGACATCTATTCTCATTTACACGTTCAGAGGTGGGTATATAGGAAGCCAGAATTGACCCTAAAACATTATCATTTCATCAACTATCCCACATCTCCATCTCTCTCTCTCTCATTATGGTTAGACTAAGGTGGTTTTTTGACTTGGTGACTGACCTGTAGATTGCATATTCTTCACATTTTTTTCCTTTATTTGGTCACTTAGTCTAATTCCATCCCATTTGATGTATTGGCCATCTATGCCTATCGTCTATTCCCACTTACACAAGTTCAGGGGTGGGTACATTGGAATCCAGAATTAACCCTAAAACATTATATGTGACATTTCATCAACTGCCCCACACCTTTCTTTCTCTATCGTCACTAAGTTGGTTTTTGACTTGTGCATTGGTTATTCTCCTCTTTTTTCCTTTATTTTTCTGGAAGGGAAAGGGGTGAGGGGAGTATAAAACAATAGTTTGTTCCGTCAATGAACTCTGCTTGTTTGAGTACATTTAATATTGTCCTGAAGATGGAAGTCTTTGTCAAAAAGTCAAACAAGAGTGTATAGGTGAGAACAATTTTATCATTCGTGGAATCTAAATTTCCTCGTATCTTTTCAATATGGATGCAGCTTTTGTCTGAACTTGGTGCTTTTGTTTATATGTTTCCACACTGTAGTGCAGTTTTCTTTTAACACCCTTTCAGCTCTATCTCGGTGGTGCATATCTAACCGCAAAAAGGCCAAGCAAGTTGTTGAAACTTGGGAGAAACTATTTAAATCTGCACAACGGGATCGACAGATTTCTTTTTTATATTTGGCGAATGATATCCTGCAAAATAGCAGGCGCAAGGGAAGTGAATTTGTAAATGAATTCTGGAAGATCCTTCCGTCAGCTCTGAAGAGTGTTTACGATCTTGGCCATGAAAACTGCAGGAAGGTTGCTTCCAGATTGGTAAGTTCCTTGACAACTCACAGCTTGAGGCAATATGACAACCATCTTATACATAATTAAGCGGAAACTGAGAAAGAAACANAAAAAAAAAAAAAAAAAAAAAATTCTTGTTTCCAGGTTTGGTTCTAGTCCTATAATGTCTGAGATAAATTTTATATTGGAACATGTATGGTTGGATGGACTGATAATTACAGTATAACATTGTATCCTTTTTTTATTACCATTCTAATGAATGTGATGCTGTTTGCCTGGTTCTCTTTCAAATTCGATAAGACATGTTTTTCGACTTCAATTTTGCCAGTTTTAAGATTGTGTTATCTAATGTCTAGTCATTCTGTGGAAGTTCAGGTGAGAACGCAAGTTATCACAAATTATAATTTTTGGCTTGTTGATGCAATAAGAGTGTTCTTTTTCCGAAAACTTAATTCTAGCTGTTAGAGACAAGATTAATCTTATATGTTAAAAGTCCTAAGCTTTTGGATTCTTGTGGATTGGAAATTCTAAAGAATAATCCTACTAGGTTGTATCTTACGGTTATTTCCTTATGATGTATGTATTTCCATAACTAACGCATCATCACAGTGTGTACCAGTTCATGTAGAACCAGTTGAAATACTACTTGGGCGCATTGCAGATATTGTCCTTTCCTTGTTTCGACATGATGGTGGTTCTAGTTTGAATTATATGTCTCCAATCAGTTCAGAGTATATGTAGAAATCCCACTTTTGATAGATCTTTATAAACTTTTCACACTGTAATTATTCTTCCTTTGGTATAAGAGGTTCCAGTATTACACGAAATGGGAGATTTGGCAGTTAGGTGCAATGTTTTTCATTGAGTTGTATGGATATTTCATTCCTATTCCTATAATTGAATCTTGTATAACTTGTTCTTATCTCCTGATGATTGCCATCTCTTGTTTTCCGTCCTTTGAATTTTGCTTTTTGGTGACTGGGAATGCTCTTTATAGGTTAATATTTGGGAAGAAAGAAAAGTTTTTGGATCGAGGGGCCAAAATCTTAAAAATGCAATCTTGGGCAAGACGACTCCTGTCACTGTCAGCAATGTTAAGAATTCAAATCCTATCAAGGTTGTGAAGAGAGATAGCAACTCATTAAGAATTGTAAGTATCATCCACAACTTTATGGATGAAAATTGTTCGAATCAGAGTCATTTTGATGCAGATTATCTTCTTTTTTTTTCTTTTCTTTTTTTTTTTTTTCAAAAATTTAGAAACTAGCTGTTGGGGGTATACCGGAAAAAATCTTAACTGCATTCCAGCTGGTACATGATGAAGATGTCAATGAAGAAGCAGCCTTGAAGCAGTGTAGAACTGCAGTTTCTTGCATTCAAGAAATGGAGAAAGAGGTTCAAAATGTTTCTTCTCAAGGTATGACCTTATAGTCTCCTTTAGAGTTTATCTCATAGGGGCTAACATAATGTCTTGATGGGATTTTTTCTCTTTCATTCCCCCCAATGCATATATTTAAAATAGTGGTAGCTTGTTCTTGTTTATCAATCTGCAAGTTCGATAGACATTCTCTAAATGTGCGGATGATTTTACATGCTTTTGAGCCCTTCGATATTGATATTTAACCTTCGTCCATTTTTTTCAGATCTGCAGGGTTCTGATTTGGTGGATAAGATACAGGAACAGGAAAACACACTTCAGCAGTGTGTTGGACAACTTGAAAATGCTGGAGCAATCAGAGTTGCACTGGTTTCCCAGCTTAAAGAGGCACTTGAGGATCAAGTATGGTCTTATTTTTGTAATTTTCATGCCTGCAATTATGACTCAACACTTTTCAAATTCTGATAAATTCTGGCTTTTCAGGAAACAAAGCTGGCACTGATACAGAGTGAGCTACATGTAAGGATCTCTATTTTCTCTCTGGCACATGTTATCAGAAAACCCATTGCAAATGCCTGCTGTTTAAATTGTCTTTTGGAATGGTTGAATATGTTGTCCAACTGTAGAAAATCTTTAGGCTTCTTTCCCCGTCTGTGCAGTTTCCGTGCAACGGTTTCTGTGCAGTTTCTGTGCCACACACGACAACATACGCTTACCAGATAACTGTCCTTTTTACAGATTTTGTATTACGTTTTTGGTGTGGTGGGGCTAAACTGATAAATGTTTTGTTTGAAGTACCGTGTTGTGTTATTCCTTTAAAATATTGAAATAGCTGTACATCAAGGGCTCTGGAGGGGCAGCTTTATACCCAAAGCTGAGGTACTAGTTGCTGAACTTTAAGTTAAAATAGTTGCAAGGACTTAACTCTATTTTTGATGTAGAAGGAAAATGGGACTAGTAAAGGAAGTGCACAAGCTTCTTTTTTCGTGTTTCTTCATATTGGTTGCACAATTATCTTTTCTGAAAAATTTGCATTTGATTTCTAGTCTAGACTTCAATATATACTTACCCTCCATAATTCTTTTTGGGCCCACTAGTTACCCTTTCATTGTTTCCTTTCTACTTTCTGTGCAAACCAAGCAAAAGAAAGTTATTGTGTTGCCCCTCAAAACCAAATCAATTGATAAGTTACATGGATTAAGGTTTCTACTCGGGACAGTATAAACTTGGAAGTAGGCTACTCAAATACTTCTTCACCATTCCATTCTAGCCAACTCTGTAGCACGGACACTTCAATTAGGGTAGTGTTTCTGTATTCAACAAGGGTCGATGTCGACACTCCTCGGACACTCTGCCATAATCATTTTTCTTTTTTTACTAGAAATATTATATATTTTTAACTCAAAGTTATTAGTAAATGATAAATAGGTACTCATAATTAAAGGATTTCAACAAGAAAGATTAATGACAAGTATAAAATTAGATTTATACTATATAAATAAAATTTTTTAAAGAATTTAATCAAAGTGTCGTGACAATTATTTTTTGAAAAATCACGTATTAGCGTATCGGACAAGTATCGTGTTGGACACGTGTCCGTGTCGGTGCATCATGAAATGAAATGTTTTGCGACTGTATCTAACTGTTGTTAATTTTTGTCTCCATCTCCCTATTCAAGATGTATTCTGACCATCTGCCTCTCTTAATTTATACTCGGTGCCCATTTTCTGTTTGGTGTACTTCATTTGTTATTTTATTCATTATTATATGATCACTCATTTATCATAATATCATTTTTTCTGCAATAGTGCTATGTCTTGATTGACATTTGGCCTGATAATGGTCCATGTCTGCACCATGAAGGATAGGTAGTCTAATAACTGTGTCTAGAGTTTCTGTTTTAACTTGGTTATCTTTCCATCACACAGAATCATTATCACACTTGTCTATTTTCTCCACCCCGTTCTAATCCTTGAGATTACATATTCTTCGTGTCTCTCTTTCTATTAATAATTAAGCCTAAATGATGTGACAGAAAATAGAAAAAAATGAGGGAAGATGAGGGAATAGAGATAGAGAGAGAGAGAAGAAGAATATGAAGAAATTTTTTTGATATACTCAACAATAATGTTCTATGTGAATTGAAATCTTGGTTTACTTTAATAGAGCAAAGATGTTAAATACCTTAATCTTGATTCTTCATTTTGTCATCTCCTATTTTGGATGAGGATGGGAGAGATTGGACAACCCATGTTGATATACCACGGGGAGGACTTCTCACCCTAGTCTCTTAAAGAACCTAGTAACTAACTACTACTCAAAAGTAACAAAGTTCCAGTCACTCAATACTGAATTCTAATCTTAACCAATCTTTAATCTTATTTCTTCTGGGAATGACTTTTAATTTTCCATCATTTCTCCCTGAATGAAAACAACTTGACTCGAGTGAGTTAAACTCCAAATGGACGTCTAGCAATTTCAGGTCAAGATGTTGGGAATCTTCCTCTGTGATCCATTTATCAAGGAAATTCTAATATTGTCTTATTTTGACTTATTCTAAAACCTCTTATTTCTAAAGGATTCCACTCTTCTAACTTATGATTTATCCGCCTCCTATTAGTCTTATAAACTAAAACTGTGTCATCAATGCATAACACTACGGACCTCGTCCTGCACCCATGTCTGAAGCAAAAAGATGTGGACTCTGTGCGGCACCTTGATGCAATCATGTAGTAAAGAGAGTCTTTACTACCATTACCACTGGATCTCTCCCATGTGAATACTCCATGTCTCCATTACCCTCAATAATATTGATATATCTAACAAATATTCCTTTTTTGTAGCACCTGGGCAGGATTTCTTTGGGCACCCTATCACATGCTTTTTTTTTTAAATTTTTTTTGAAGAAAATCCAACTTAAAGTAGCAATTGTAATTTGTTTTAGTTCTGACTAGCATTAGAGATCTCAAGCCAGGTTCCAGGAGGCCTAACTTGTGCACATATCTGGGAACTAGCCTCAAATAGTTGAATTGGCATCTTCAAAGCAAGTGCCTACCAAATTCAAGGACTAAAAACTGTGGATGGACAACTTCATGAGGGAAATGTCTGTTAATTATTTGGTAGAAGCACTTATCTGTTTAAAATCAAAAAGTTTAATTATTGGCAAAGAGCACAACTAACTACTTTAGATTTTTGGCCTGTAAATGGATAAATTTGCTATGAGATAAAAATTAGTTGATCACACAATATATAGAGCAATGTAAATGGAGATCATTTCTTCCAAAACATGTGATATGTATGGGTCTGTACTATGCTGTATAGCATGCCAACGAGATTCTTTCTTGTTCAATCAATACTTTTACCAACTTTCTTCTTGTAAGTTATGTTTGTTTGATTGTAAACGTACCTGGTTATTTCCACTTTATCTATATACTTGCGTAAATATTTAATAAACGTTTTTAGTTCACACTAAACCGATGCACTCACTCTTATCACACCGATATCTTATAAAGAATGTAAACTATAAGAATGTGCTGTTTCTTTTCCAATATAATAGTGGTATTTTAATTTCTATAGTATATCAATACTTGAGCCTTTTTTTATAATAGATGGTTAATGAGTTTTTATGCTGATTTTTTGTTAATAGATGGTTAATGAGTTTTTATGCTGATCAAGGAAGTTTAGATGGTATTACACAGAACCAATGCTTTAAACTGTACTTTTTAGGCACAGCTAGAGAGACAAAGCAAGTCAAAATGTACTCTTTAAGGTTCTTCTTCAAATATTGCTTCCACTTGTGGTTTTGTAAGCTGTTATCCATTATCTTCTTCAAAAACGACCGAGGTTTATTGGGGTTGGATATGCTGTCCGCTTTAGTTTATGTACTCTGTAAACCTGTGTTTTTGAAAGAAATCTGCAGCATACACCTTGTACTCTTGATTTAATTTTATGTTGTTTACGGGACAACATTAATAGTTGAAATCAGTCACGGTCCTAATGGTCTTTCCCGATATCTTCTATTATATTTCATTCCTTGTGAAGTTTCTACTTGGTTCATAATTGCTTTAACTTGAAGAACTATCTTATGTTACACAATTTTCTGCCGTTGACAATTTATTTGCGAAGCAGGTTGCTCAGGGTCTAATCGAGCGAGCATCGAATATGAGGCAGCGGCTGGTCCCCGGTTTTTCAGTACCCACTCCTGTAAACCAACTTATGGAAGCCAAAGCTCTGAGGATGGTTGAACCCAAATTCCCGGCTACCCAGTCGACAAACAATCCGCCAGCGCCTCCACCACCTACTCATCCTTTGACACCATTTTCGACCTCTAATCTCAGTGATGAGGAGAGCAAGAAGGCAACAGTAGCTGCTGTCGCTGCAAAACTTGCTGCTTCAGCATCCTCTGCGCAGATGTTAACTTCAGTCCTCTCATCCCTTGTAGCTGAAGAGGCTGCTTCAATGAGCAGTGGCTTGAAATCTGCCGGGTTTCCGAGTTTGCCTATTTTACCTCCCGAGAAAAGGCAGAAGCTAGATCAGTCTACTCCTTTCTCTGGCATGGACAATTCCGATGCTGGTAATTCAGTGTATTTTTCTACTACACAGCAAGCAATGGCTAATATGCCACCTAACAGCATGCAATCTGTAGCTCAAACTAACCGAATGCAAGCTCCATTCCTGCCACCTCTTCCACCTCCTCCACCACTCGCACCTCCATCTAATTCTCCTGCAAGTCAATTGGTCCAATCGGCAATGGTGGGGCCACCCTTCGGTTATGGTGCTGGAAACTTGTTACCTCCATCTTTGTCTTCAAACATTGCTATGGGCATGGCCAGGCCTGGCCCCCCTCAGCAAGCGCAGCCACAGCAGTTGCAGAACCAGCAACCTCAGCAGCAGCAGCAGCCTCCGCCTCCAAATGGTGGGTACTATAGGCCTCCAGGTATTGGATTCTATGGGCAGAGTCATCAGCCATCAACACCACCCGTGCCTAGACAGTGATGTTCTTTTCGAAGATTTCGTACCTGTCAGTTTTGTACATTAAAGTACGTTTGGTACATAATAGTGGACAATGTCCCTACCAAACATGCTATAATAGGATAATTATCTTTGTCATGAGAAACTTTTTACATTACCTTTGTAATATACTCTTTTCACCTAAATACTTCTCCAATCCTCCCATCCACACCTTGTTTGACTATATGATTGGGTCCTCTGCACCCAACACATTTAGGGAATTTGAAATTATCATACTTGACTCTCTCTCCCTTGCATGGCTAATGTCGTTTGGTTAGCTTTTAATGAAATAGGATATGTAAATTAAGATAATGTTGTGTCTGCGTGTAGTTATTTAAATTCATTTTGGAGGAGTTTCGTATCCAGCTGCTGTTATTTAACCTGCTAGCTCTAAGATGCAACTTGGTCCACATTGTTTGAATCACAAAGGAGTTTGGTACGTTGGACTGGATAGAGCTGGACGTGATTATGATAAAGCTGCGTGCCGAATGATGGGTTGTTTTGTAAAACAGTTGCACGTCCATTGGTGGAGGACAACTTTTTAACTTGTCCTATCCTACATAAATAAAAGAGTTTGATAATTATTGTTCATAAGCCAAGCTGAGCCGAGCCAAATGACTTTATGGCTCGGCTTGGCTAAGCCCTTTTTGTTTTTTTTTTTTTAAACGTTTGATTCAGTATTTTAAGTTACAAATATTCGTTTTAAACGATTTAAAATTTGTTGAAAATGTTGAAGTGTGATCATGATAAATATATGATCGATAAATTTTAAATATCAAAAATAATTTTACATTAATAGTGAAACGTAAAGTCGTGATTATTTATGTTTCTTTTCAATTTCAACCCCTATTATAATGTTCTTTTTTTGAACTTTATTTTCTTACAATTTTTTGTTTGATTCGATATTTCACGATATGAATATCCATTTGGATCGATTTAATTTTTTTTTAAAAAATTTAAAATGTGATAATAATAAATATATTGTCGATTAAGTTTAAATATAAAAATTATTTTAAATTATTAAACGTAAAATCATAATCGTTAATTTTTCTTTTCTACTCCCTCAATCCTCATACTCACATCAATTTCTGTCAATTTCATCTTTCTTTAGTTTTTACGGTTAAAAAGGGTAAATTTATGGCGTCGAAATGGATATTGAAAGAATTTAATGATTTTCAGAAGAATCTTCCTACATCATGCAGTGCTAGTAGGCAAACATTTTCTATGAAGTAGATTTTTTTGATTTTTTTAAAAATGAATTTAATGTACAATATCATTAGAACATGCTGAAAAGATATTCGACGGAATTTATGAAGTTAGACGATCGTTTGTCATTCTTTTTGCCTCTATGATGGAAGTTTTCGTTGTGTTGTGGTTTTAATACTGATATAGACCCTTGATTTATCTTAAATGTTGTATTGTATTATCATTAATTAATTAATCTTGATTACATACGTCTTGCATAGGGTCTTGGTAAAAAAAATTAAATACTGGTGCAATTGATACATGTAATTGGAGATTCTATGAGCACAAGATAAATGAGATATAATGCATTACCTCAATAGGTAGAAAAAGGATGGCTAGGTTGAACTTCATTATCTCTTTAGCATGACATCAACATCTAATCATCTATGCCCTGTCTTTTAAAAAAAAAATAGAGAGACCTTCAAGCGCAAAGTCTAGAAAATAAGTTTTGAATCAAATCTTTTAATATTATTTTTGTCACCTATCATCATTTCAAGTGTTTTAAGTTTAATGTAACTAATATTTGAGACAAATAATTTTTTTTAATATTTACGCTATCATATAGCCAACTATACTATACACGTGCGTCTTACTAGTATTGTAAAAAGGAAAATGCTAATGGTGTCCATAATGGAATAGCATAACCTTTGTAAAAACTCATAAACAATTTTACCTTCTATGTAAGGATGTAATAGGTACAGGTAGCAAACAACTTGAGGAACAAATAATCTAATCAAGAGACAATTTGGTTTTCTTAAAAGAAATTTGTTCTTCAATAGGTTTTCCTATTTTAATATATTTTACTGGTATTGCATCAATATTACTAGAACATTGTTTCTTCACATCAAAATCTCGTCAGTTTCCTTGATAAAAGAAGTATCTGTTTATCTAGAAAATCGAAATCACTAACCGTTCCCACTTCGATAGTCAAGTTAGAAATTATAAAAACAAAGTACTAATAAGAAAATATTTCAATTGTTTTGCCTTACAATGGAATGAGATGGTCTTGGGGGTATATTTAGAGAAACGGAGTGTGGATAATTAAGATGTCATATCACACGTCTTGTCCTCGTAAATTGTTGTGTCGATGTTCATTGCCACACTACAAACAATTTGATCAATTATGCTACTTGTACGAATGTGGTTTACAAAAGTGTGTTGACAAAATGATGTGGCAAGATATAGGTCATTGATTTCAAAAATCGTTTTTTGTTTACAAAAGTGTGTTGACAACATGGTGTGGCAAGATTTAGATCATTGATTTCAAAAACTATTTTTTAAATCATTGGCCAAAATGTTTCCAACACGTATTTTGTAAACCAATTTTGTAACCTAACTTAGTCAGCTCTCTCGGGACATTTTCTTGCTGAATATACGCTCCATAAAATTATTGGTGTAAGTTTGCCTAGGAAGTAATGGTTGATTAAAAGAAAAGAAATGAGAAAATTATTTAAAGTTTGAACACATTGTACGGATCGTCATTACATATTGAGAGCAACGAATTTCTTTCCTTGCATGACCATTGTATTGGCATGATACAGATTTTTCCAGCCAAAAAGATAAAATTTAATTTTACATATCAAATATATGTCTAGATTTTCCAGCCAAAAAGAATCAAATTAAAGCTAGATGCTCAAATATTATTTGAGTTTACTAGCCATTTGCATGGCACGTAACTTTCATATATGACGATATATGTGATTAGTATCTCATCTGGAAACTTAAATTATTAGAAAAGATCCATATTTCTGATACCAAATTGGCATGACTTGTCTTGGATCACCTTTAGCGACTCAAAATATGACGATTGTGGATGATAGATATACCAAACCCATGACCAAGATCGATTTTGATTTATTACAAATTACTGAATCTCAATTTTTTAATTTATGAAAGTCCTGACACCCATACAATTCTGATCATAAATAAATGATGACAAGACTTGATTTAAGGTCTTTTCATCGATTTTTATTCTCGTACAATATTAATCATCTCATCTAAAAGTTTATAAACTTTTCAAAATAATCACAAGTATCGATTCAAACCTTGTTTTTAACATGTTTGGCTTGTTAAAAGAATAGCCAAAACATTTTTTTGCTATGTTAATTAGGCCTAAAATATCTTTCGTTCAATAATTAAAAATTTCAAATTGTAAATTTCGAAATTTTAAGGTCAAATTATTAATATTACGACTTTCATATTTTCATAATAGACTTAGTACATATACAATTATACAAACCACTTAATTTGTTTTTTAAGGAAACAAGGAAAACTTGTTTATATAAATTTTGTTCCGACATATATAACTTTTCATTGAAACCCAAATTAGAGGTCGGCCTTATATAATTCGTAGGAATTCTATATAAATCTCTGCATATTGCACGAATATTGCTTCAACTCAAAACTTCTAATCATATTCATGGCTAAGATTACACTGCCAATATTCTTTGCAATTTTCATTGGTTTTGCACTCTTGTGTTACCTTTCCAATCCTCTCTCTAATGACGATCCTAAGCAGCCAGATGACCATAAACCCTTCTCTAATGAAGACCCTAAGCAGCCAGATGATCATCATCCCTTCACGAGCACATATCTCTCGGGACGAAAACTTGAGGGCTATGGGGGATTAGTGCCTGAGAATGGTTCAGCTCAGAAAAAAGTTAGAAGATTGCAGGACTGTATCTGTAGGTGCACTTGTAGTTGTTCGGCAAGAAATTGTGCGTTTTGCTGCGGCCAGCTGAAAAATGGAAAAAGAGACTGATTGTTGGCACGTTTGGAACGGAGGATTGCATAGTTGTGAACATTATTAAAGAAGAAAAATAAGTCTGAATCTTGTTTGATCGTAGAATTATGTCCTGCACTGTGTCTTAAACATGCACTTAATTTCTGTTGCATTGCAGATATATGAAATGCTGCAATTTCCTATTTACATGTGTTTTGTGAGAAAAAGTTTGTCTTCAAAATGCATATATCAAGGTGTATTGATATATGATCAGTTCCTGTGTAATGTAAGATCTATAATATCAATAATGGAAAGTATATAATTTTTATGACTGTCTTTTTAAACCTCATTTTCCTTTCCAATATTGTTGCTGATATGAGGGTTTACTTGATTTGGTCAAAAGAGCCCAATACCCTATCGAAGAGGCTAGGAGTCGGACTATAAAAACATCATCATGACATGATAAATAAAGTGTTTCCTCTAGACGGTAGCACGGCCAAAATCGACTAGTTAGGAAGATGATATGATGGCTTAGAACATAGGCCTATGTGCCATCATAACAAAATAGTGGGAACTAATCTTGATTAAGCCGAAACTCCAAGGATCATTTTGCTGAATTTAGAACTCTCAGAGACCGAATTACACAAAACAACAACTTTAGAGAAAAGTTTGCAGCAAACGGAAACTACAGGCACCAATTTGAAGCACTGAAACGATGCATTTTGGAAACTCGGGCTGACCAAACCATACCAAAACTTCAGGGACCAACTTGCAGATTAACAAAAATCAGGGGCCTTTTTTCAGAACCCATAAACAACGAGGGACTGATTTGCAATCAACCACACTTTTTGGGCTCTGGGAGTAGCGCAGGACCATTTGAATAGGTCAAGCGAAATTGGAGAGGGTGATACGTTCGAATTTCGAATGATAACGGTCTTCGAGTTAATGCTAAATCCTTTAATTACTCATTCGAAGATATGGGGAGATCAAAATTAAGAATCGTTTGACCATTTCAGGA